ATTTTTTTCTATTTAATAATATTTATTTCAAACTTGCAAGTTGAGTTAAAAGTTATGGTAATAAATTCATTTTTTTTTTATTAAAACTTTCACTTTAAAGAACAAAAAGAAGTAGGTTCAAAATGATTACTTTTAACATATTAAAAATCAATAATAATTTGAAAATAATTAATTATAAAAATTATATAATATATAATTAAAATAATTACTAATCTGGATATAATTAAGGAAATAGGAGTTGATGTTGGGTTGGGTTGGTTACATTTTTAACTTTATAATGCTATAACTCATTGAAAAGTGTACGAATCAACACAATTTTTTTATGAGAAATAATATTTTTTAATAATCCCTTTTTCATTCGACATACTTTATCTTAATCAGGGTATTAATAAGAAACTAGCAGATAATGTAGCTTTTGTAATTATCCACCAATTTCTTAGAATTAAACACTATCTACTGATTTGCATCGAAGCGTTTCTTATGATAGTGATTTTAATCACTGTCAGATTAAATCTATACTGGACCCAACTATGCAACATCCCCACTATGCCGCGACCCCACTGTGCTGGGTTTTTTTAAATTAAATATTTTGTTAAAATAAAAAATTTAATTTTATAATTTTATTTTGGTAATTACAAAATATTTTATAAATTGTACATTTTTCAACAATGTTTCATACAAAAGTTAATTAAAATTTGCTTTACAAAATATTAACTTCTATAATAATTTTTGCAACTAATACTTTTCTGTGATGTGTTAAATTTAACTTAAAATTAGTTCTATAATTTATACATAAAAATATTACTTAATATTACTTATATAATTTTAAGTCTACATGAATGTCAAGTATAAATCGTTTTATCATTTTTAATTTTTTTCTTATTAGATCTTCATTTACAGAAATGGGGTGACAAAATATTCACTGTGGAGGAAGTGTGAAATAGAAGAGGAAGATCCAAATAAAATTATGTGTGAATAAGACAATCTGTAAATGTGAGGTATGCACAATGGACCTGCAGGTTTGAGTGTACAGGCAGTTCTTGCTTACTACTCTAACAATTAAAACTAAACCAACTATTAGGGCTTTTAGCCTCAATTTAATGTATTTTACACATACTAAGATGTTAAAAAGAAATGATTATTTAATTTTAAAAAATTTCATTATGATGAAACCTTGTTAATCTAGACTCAATTATGCACAATTATGATAAGACAGGGTTATATTAGAATGAAAACTCAGGCAAAACATTAAATAACCTAAGTACAGTCTAGTAATGTACTCCAATATAATCCTCTCATCATAATTGTACATAATGGAATTCGGATAATCAAAGTTTTACTGCTTTACCTATCTAAAACGTCAACATAATAAGCATTTTTAGAACTATTATTTAAATGAAGGCATAAAAATGGGTGATCTCAGAAAATTCTGGGACCACCCTATTCATTATATTTTAGTCAAATATTGAGGTTACTATTGATGTACTCATCACAGTTGATGAATTAGAAAGAACAAAAAAGGATACAATCTTTATTTTTTTTAACTAACACTATTAACTACAGATAAAATCATAGTAAATTTTGAAATAAAATAAAATTATTAATTAAATTTTATAAGCATTACCTGTTCAAGTATTTGAGTGATATGAATATATGCATCTAATGGTGTTAAATTTAACTCCAAGATCAATCTATCTATTTTATTTAATACTAAAACTGGTTTAATGTTTTCTGACCATATTTGTTTTAAACAGGCCTATTTAAAGTATTATTTTTTATTAAATAATTAAAAATAACTTTAATAAAGTTAAATATATTTACTTGTGTTTGTGGACAAACACCTTCTACTACATCAACTAAAATAATGGCTCCATCACATAACCTTAATGCAGTAGATACTTCAGAAAAAAAATCAATATGTCCAGGACTATCAATTACGTTAATAAGATGTTCATAGTCCTCTATAAATAAATAAATACTATAAAACTTAAAATAGTAAAAAATTTACTCTATATTACGTTTATTATGATATAATGCTATTGAGGAACTTTTCATAGTTATTCCTCGTTGTTGCTCATCACGTCTACTATCCATATATCTAAGTTTACCAATCATTTTTTGAGATATAACTCCATTACTTGCTACCAATGAATCAGCCAATGTAGTTTTACCATGATCAACATGAGCCATTATACAAATGTTACGAATAGAATTGGGTTTATGTTGTAGCTCAATGAGCTTATTTTGAGTAATACTTCTCATTTTTAATTTAATTATTAAAACATATAATGAATAAATTTACTCACTAAATTAAACTTAGAAATAATTTGTAGTCTGAATATTAATTTTAATATTCAAATTAATCATTCATTAATGCATTAAAGAATACATATAAATACATATTTAAACATACATAATTTAAATAAGAATTTAATTTATTGAAATGAATGAATTACAATAGAAATATAATTTATATATAAAAAACAGAAAAAATTCCCAATATACAATACATTTATTGTGCGAAATTCAAATTTGATAAGTAAAGAAAACTCTTATATCATACGTGTGTAATACCTTAAAACGATTAATTCTAACCTAAAAATTGAAATATATCAAACCTCTCTGTTTTTAAATATAAGTAACTTGGTATCATTAATTACATGACTAAAGTGCAGTAGACTCAAGTCTGAAGCTATTATTTTAAATGAAAACCGAATTGGTTACAAAACCAGCAGTTAAATACATTTTTGAGACAGGATTTTACAAATCTAAATCGTCAACAACGCCACACAACGACCCAATTGATTAGAAATAATTAACTATAACTAATGACTACAATAAACTGAAAAATGAATTAAATTTTCCTTCAGGGTAATCTGAAACGAGATAAGTGTAAAAGAAAACTTATCTAATTAAAAAATATTATTTTAAAAGCTATTACTATATATATACAAATAAAAATGTACTAGGGTGAAGTAGAGTATTTTTAAATACGTTTTAATAGATAAATGCATAAGTTTTTATTTCGAACTTTCATTTAGACTTTTGTTGATAGCAACACATATAGAACCCGCGAACTTTTCAATCTAAAATAAGATCTGCTAAATATTCTAAGTAGGGTCGAATTAAGACGGATGGGCTAATGGACGATACTTTAGATGAAAAATATCGCTCCTACCTCTAATGATTCTAAGAGAAAAAACAATTTACAATTACCACATTCGTTTACATTTATCCTTTTAACCTTATTTATAAAAGTAATTTAATAAATTATTTATACAATCATTTTTTAATTGGAAATTTAAATGTAATTTACGTTAATACTGCACAAATTGTAAATTTTTTAAAAATAATTTAAATTAAAATATTAAACTTTTTTCAGATATTGTCCAACTCAGAAAAAAAAAGAATTTATAATTACCCTATTGGTTTACATTTACCCCACTTCAATCTATAGCTATAAACACGAGAAAATTAATTTTTTAACTCGAATAAAAATAGATAGTAATTTCTCTTCTTAAATAAATACATGAAATTTTTTTATTTATTATAATACAAACGTAGAATAGTGGCATATTTACATATTTAATTACTTTTTTTTACTGCTAATTTAAATGCTAGTGAAGCGAAGAAAAATTGTATGAATTCATACAAGAAAAAGGTTTTTTTAGACCACGCACTTAAACAATCCTACCTTTATTAAAAACAATAACTTTGTGAGAGTACATAGTTTTTATTATTTTTAGAGTGCATAGACTCTAAGAGCTTACAACAATACAACTTAAACTGTATTAGCCATTAAAAATTATAGATCAGGGGTTGCGTTGGTGAGCACTAAGAAACAAGAAAAAAACCCAGCACAGGGGGGTCGCGGCACAGTTGTGACGTGGTATAGTTGGATCAAGTATAATGATATCTGACAGTGATTAAAATCACTATCAAAAATAAACGCTTCGATGCAAATCTTTAGATAGTGTTTAATTTTAAAAAAATTGGTGTTTTATTCCAAAAGCTACTTGATCTGCTGGTTCCTTAATATCTCGATTAAGATGAAGTAAGTCGAATGAAAAAGGGTTTATTAAAAAATATTATTTTTCATAAAAAAATTGTGTGGATCCATAAACTTTTCAATAAGTTATAGCATTATAAATTTAAATATAATATGAATAATAAAATCGAGAATTTTCACACGAAAATAGCATTTGGTAGCCATTTTCGCCGTGAAGAAAAGTCCAGAGGTCAAATTTTTTTTTT